TATTGATCAAAGAGAAACCAGACACACAGAGGACAAGGAAGACATGTCAGTTGAGATGATACTGCAACGTAAAAGTTCCTTTTAAGACAACAATAGGTGGCTGTGCATAGAATATTCCAGGAAGGCTGTACGAGAAAATGCTAACAGTGGGTGCCCCAGCAAAGGAAGGGCCTGGGGGTGCAGCACAGGTGTAGGAAGGAACCTGACTTTTCCCTTTTATACATTTTTTTTTTGAGACAGAGTCTCGTTCTGTCACCCACTGCAGTGCAGTGGTGTGGTCTCGGCTCACTGCAACCTCCACCTCCTGGGTTCAAGCAATCCTCCCGCCTCAGCCTCCCAAGTAGCTGGGATTACAGGCGCATGTCACCATACCCAGCTAATCTTTGTATTTTTCATGGAGACAGGGTTTCACCATGTTGGCCAGGCTGGTCTTGAACTCTTGACCTCAAGAGATTGGCCAGCCTTGGCCTCCCAAATGCTGGCATTACAGGCGAAAGCCACATGCCCAGCCTTTTTTTTTGCGGGGGTGAGGGGGAGCATGGAGTCTCTCTCTGTTGCCCAGGCTGCAATGCGCTGGCACGATCACAGCTCACTGCAGCCTCAACCTCCCAGGTTCAGGTGATCCTCCCACCTTAGCCTCCCCAGTAGCTGGGACTATAAGCCTATGCCACCATGCCAGGCTAATATTTGTAATTATTATAGAGACAGGTCTCCCTAAGTTGCCCAGGCTGGTCTCTAACTCCTGGGCTCTAGCAATCCTCCCACTCCAGGCTCCCAAAGTGTTAGGATTACAAGTGTGAGCCACTACGCCTGGCTACAGACTATTTATAACTTTGGGTTTTGTACTATGTATAGTATTGATTTAAATTTTTTTTTTTTTAATCTTACATGTCAAAAGAATTAACAGGATTGTAGCAGGTGCCTAATAAGTACAGGTTAAACCATTCTGCTATTTCAGGAACTTGCATTTAGGAAGTATGGTGCTTACTGTGCAACAAGAGCCCCTGGCCATCCCTGTTTTTCAGGTCTTAGAGGATAGAGCTCAGCTAAGAAGGAGCTCCTCTTAGATCTGCTGGAAGCCAGAGCCCTGCTCCCCGGCGAGGACCACACCGCCATCCTCCCTGGAGTTTGCAGTTGGAGGCACCAGATGCTCTTGCAGCATCCAGAGAGATGCCATCTGTGAGGGAAACCTATTCTTAGAGAGCAGAGACAGTCAGTAGCAGAGCTGGCCAATCCCCAGCAGCAGTGGGGGGACTTCAGGAGGGCAGGTGGCCAAGGTTTCACCTTCAGCTGAGGGCAGGACAGGCTAAAAGCAGGGTGTGCTCGGTCCTCAGGACCCATACTTCCTCTACATTTGGATGCTCTATTAGAAATAACAGCATTTATTGAGGGCTCACTTTAACCATGTCATATTCTTCAACCCTCCAGACCACTCGAGGTGTGTGCTGTTACTCAGTCACTTGCCCAAGGAAATTGTAGAGCCAGGGCTTGAGCCCAGGCACTCTGGCTCCAAAACCTACGTCCCTGACCATCGTGCTATACTGCCTCTCAACCTGCTGTACAGAGGCCAATTTTAGTTTGGGTTTTCCCAATAGCAGACTTTAAGACACGGATTTGAATGCAAGTGGTTCATATGGGAAGTGGTCCCAGGAAGCACTGCTAGGGGCATGAGGAAAGGAGACGGGGAGGGTATTTGAGGTTCAGCCCTGCTGGGGAGCTCTGGGAGTCAGTGTGGAGCATGTACCTGAGCTATCCCACCCGAAGGGTGAGGGCTGTGGGCTGTGGGAGTGGGGGTATTATTCAGTCATTGGTTGAGGTTGCTCCAGGGATGTGTTCACTCCCCAGCCCTTCAGGCCTGCCACAGGCTGGCAGAGGAGGCACCAGTGACAAGCTAGAGTCTTCAGGCAGAGAGATAGAGGAGCAGCCACTGGCAAAGCTGGCTGGTGTGCAGGAGAGTGATTAGTTAGAGGGGCTACAGGCAGGGCACCCCCACCATCTGCTATAAAACCTGCTTGTTGATGGCCGAAGCCCTCTGCCCTCCCCAACCTCTAGAGCAGCAGTCCCCAACCTTTCTGGCACCAAGAACCAGTTTCATGGAGGACAATTTTTTCACGGACCGGTGGGAGGGGTCATGGTTTCAGGATGATTCAAGCACATTACATTTACTGTGAAATTTATTTCAATTATTATTACTTTGTAATATAGAATGAAATAATTATACAACTCACCATAATGGAGAATCAATGGGAGCCCTGAGTGTGTTTTCCAGCAACTAGATGGTCCCATCTGGGGGCGATGGGAGACAGTGACAGATCATCAGGCATTAGATTCTTATAAGCACGCAACCCAGATCCCTCACATGTGCAGTTCACAATAGGGTTTGCACTCCTATGAGTATCTAACTCCGCTGCTGATCTGACAGGAGGCAGAGCTCAGGTGGGAATGTCAGCAATGGGGAGTGGCTGTAAATACAGATGAAGCTTCCCTGGCTCATGCCTTTTAACTCCTGCTGTGCAGCCTGGTCCCTAACAGGCCATGGATGGACACTAGGGTTGCAGACCCCTTGCCCTAGAGCTCATTCAGCCTCCACAGCAGGTTAAAAGAGCTTCAACATCATCTACTCCAAGTTTGCAGTAAATATTGTGGCTAAAAACACAGCTTACAGAATCAGAGTGATCCCACCTCAGTTACCTAAGGCTCTGTGACTCATCTATCAGATGGGATAACAATGGATGGCTCCATATCATTCCCCACCCCCTGGTTACTCAGACCAACATCACTGGCAGCACCTGGGAGCCTGGGAGAAATGCAGACTCTCAGGCCCCACCCCAGCTCACTGGATCAGAAACTGCATTTTAATAAGATCTCCAGTGACTCATGTGTACATTTCTACTAGTAATGTCTAAAAAATAGAGAATGATGGAGTAAGTATATTAATGAAAGCATATCTACCAGACCAATGCTCTCAAATTGGTAGCCCATGGACCAAATTTTCCTGGAGACTTGTTTGATTTGTCCAAGATTGTATTTTTTTTTTTTTTTTTTTTCGACTGAGTCTTTTTTGATCCGCCCGCCTTGGCCTCCCAAGGTGTGAGCCACCGTGCCTGGCCGAGACTGAGTCTTGCTCTGTCACTCAGGCTGGAGTGCGATGACATAATCTCAGCTCACTGCAGCCTCCCAGGTTCAAGAGATTCTCCCACCTCAGGCTCCCGAGTAACTGGGATTACAGGTGCCCATCACCACATCCAGCTAATTTTTGCATTTTTAGTAAAGACGGGGCATTACCTTGTTGGCCAGGCTGGTCTCGAACTCCTGACCTCAGGTGATCTGCCCGCCTGGGCCTCCCCAAAGTGCTGGGATTATAAGTGTGAGCCACTGCGCCCGGTCCCAGATCATGGTTTTGCAAAAATCAGACTGGCACACAGGTCTTCAGTTCCCCATGTTCCCATCCCTGCATAGCACCCTGAATGTTTCAATTTGTGTCACTGTAGGCTCCTCTGGGCATTTAAATTTGTACCCCTTTCTAGTCCATATCCCATAATGAGCTCATGTTTGCATAGCATGGCTTAGGTTTCTAAATTTGAAGCAAGGCACTGAAGAAAACATGGGCTTTGAAATCAGAAAGATCTGAGTTCAAATCCTGATTTGGCTATTACACTATTTGTATTACCTTGGGCAAGTTACTCTCCTCTCTGATCCTCAGTTTCTTTCTTTCTTTTTTTTTTAGAGACATAGTCTCGCTCTGTGGCCCAGGCTGGAGTACAGTGGTTTGATCTCGGCTCACTGCAACTTCGACCTCCTGGGTTCAAGCAATTATCTTGCCTCAGCCTCCCTAGTAGCTGGGATTACAGGAGTGTGCCACCATGCCCAGATAATTTTTGTATTTTTAGTAGAGATGGGGTTTCACCACGTTGGCCAGGCTGGTCAAGAACTCCTGACCTCAGGTGATCTGCCTGCCTTGGCCTCCCAAAGTACTGGGATTATAGTGTGAGCCACCGCGCCTGGCCTGACCCTGTTTCTAAATCTGTAAAATGGGGATCAAAACGCATCTTTGCAAGGCCATTGTATGGTTTAAAAATAATGTGTGCAGGCTGTGCACAGTGGCTTATGCCTGTAATCATAGCACTTTGGGAGGCTGAAGCAGGAAGATAGCTTGAAGCCAGGAAGTTGAGACTAGCCCTAGTGACAAAGTAAGACCCTGCTGCTATTTAAAAAAAATAATAATAATAAGACTGGGCGCGGCTACTCATGTCTGTAATCCTAGCACTTAGGGAGGCCAAGGCAAGTGGATCACCTGAGCTCAGGAGTTCACGATCAGCCTGGGAAACACGGTGAAACCGTGTCTCTACTAAAAATACAAAAAATTAGCCAGGCAAGGTAGCATGTGTGTGGAATCACAACTACTCGGGAAGCTGAAACAGGAGAATCCCTTGAATCCGGGAGGCGGAGGTTGCAGTGAGCCAAGATACTGCACTCCAGCCTGGGCAACAGTGAGACTCCGTCTCAAATAATAATAATAACACGTGCAAAACACCAGAGGGAGGATGAATGCACTAAATGAAGGTAATTCGCAGGAGTGTAGCAGTGGTAGCTGCATAAGTCCAATGAGGACCAGGGCAGTCTAATTATCCTCATTTTATGATAAACTGAGGCTCTGAGAGGTCCAGAACCTTCCCCAAGGTTACACAGTGGGGGAGTGGAGACTCAAACCCATGTCCTCTAGCTCTAGATCTGCGCTGTCCAGTAGAATCTTCCGTGAGGATACAAGTGTTCTTCTATATCTGTGCTGTCTGTCACAGCAGCCACTAGCCACATGTGGCTACTGAGCCCTGAAAATATGGGTAGCAAAATATATACCCAATTTTTGAAGACTTAATACAAAAAAATAGTGCAAAATATATAATTATGTCAATTATATGTTGAAATAACTTTTAGAAATTTGTGTTAAAATCTAGAATTAATATTAATGTCACCTTTTTTTTTTTTTTTTTTTTTTTTGGTGAGACAGGGTCTCACTGTCGCCCAGGCTGGAGTGCAGTGGCGTGATCTCGGCTCACTGCAGCCTCCCAGGCTCAAGTGATCCTCCCACCTCAGATGGGACCACAGGTGCGTGCTACCACACCCAGCTAATTTTTTGTATTTTTTGTGGAGACTGGGTTTCACCATGTTGCCCAGGCTGGTCTCAAGCTCCTGAGCTCAAGTGATCCACCAGCCTCAGCCTCCCAAAGTGCTGGGATTACAGGAATGAGCCATAGTGCCCAGCCTTCTACTTTTTTGTAATGTGGCTACTAGAAACATTTTAATTACATCTATGGCTCAACTGTTTCTACTGGACCGTGGGACTCTAGAACTTCTCCAATAGAATATCTGAGATGAGGAACTTAGTGCTTGTTTTTTTAAGTATTTACAATCCACTGCCCACCAGCAGGGAGCCCTCTGTGACATAAGAACAGTTGAAGAATGAACATACCCACCAGAAAGAGACCTCAGGGACCTCCTCTGAGCTCCATGACCTCTGAGGCCTAGAGAGCAGTGTGGCTGGCCCCAGTCTCACAGAAGTCAGCTTTATAGCTGGAACCAAGCCCTAGATTCCTTGGCCTGATTCAGCCACTTGTGCCACCATTTAAGAGTACCCACTGGGGTTGAAAATCAGTGCTTTTACTTTGGCAGATGGAACCCTGGGATAACACCAGCTGGAGTCTGAGGCCCATGATCTTGAGAAGGCAGGATCCTTTGGGAGGGTTTGCGAGGAGCCAAATCTTGAGCCACAGCTGGACACCTCAGGGCCGAATTACTTGGAGGGGCGGCTTTTGTTATAGATGAGGAAGTCTGAGATGTCATGCCACACATTGCTGTCCTCATAAAGGTAGGTCATGGAGGACTGAAGCGATGGCTGCAGTGTGGGCCGGTGATACTCAAAGAGCCACAGCACCAGCCCCCACAACACCGCGGTGAGCACTGGGAACGGGTTCCACCTGGGTTCAGGGATGTAGCCCTTCTCCACGGCCAGGCGGCTCAGGGCAAACAGGACACGTGACAACACGTACATGTTTATCTGCAAAGAGCCAATGGTGGGAATTACTGGTGAGTGCAGCTGCTGGGAGCCTTCTTCCTGCCCACCCCCATGCACTGGGGAGCCTTCTGGGCACCGAATGGGTTTTTTTCAAAGTTGACGTGCCGGAGGATTTGAAGTGGCATGCAGTAGACATTTTAATACTGCGATCTGTGTCTTTTATTTATTATGCTTTTTTATTAGAAAATGAAATACACCAACATGGTTCAAGACCAAAAGGTAACTTGACACCAGAAACATGATCCATAAAAGGAAAAACTGATAAATCAGATCACATCAAAACTTAAACTTTTTCTTTTGAAAACCCTTGAGAAGAGGATGAAAAGAAAAGCTACAGACTAGGAGAAGATATTTATAAACATGTATGTGACAAAGTGTCTAAATATGTATATATATTCCAGATGTGTATACATACATACATATATATATATTTTTTTTTTTTTCTTTTTTTTTTTTAAAGGCAGAATCTCACTCTGTTGCCCAGGCTGGCGAGTGGCGAAATCTCAGCTCACTGCAGCCTCTGCCTCCGCGGTTCAAGCGATTCTTCTGCCTCAGCCTCCCGAGTAGCTGGGACTATGCGCCACCATGCCTGGCTAATTTTTTGTATTTTTAGTAGAGATGGGGTTTCACCATACAGGCCAGGCTGGTCTCGAGCTTCTGACCTTGTGATCCGCCTGCCTCGGCCTCCCAAAGTGCTGGGATTACAGGTGTGAGCCACCGCGCCCGGCCCTATTTGGGGTTTTTTTGGATTTATTTGTTTCCTTTTTTGACAGGGTCTCACTATATTGCCCAGGCTGGAATATAGTGGCACAATCACGGCTCACCGCAACCACACTTCCTGGGCTCAAGCAATCGTCTCACCTCAGGCTCCCTAATAGCTGGACTACAGGCATTCACCACCACACTCAGTTAATTTTTAATTTTTATGGTGATAGGAGTCCCACTATGTTGGCCAGGCTGGTCTAAAACTCCTGGGCTCAGGCAATCCTTCTGTCTTGGCCACCCAAAGTGTTGGGATTATAGACATTATAGACAATAAATATATTCCTGGCCTGGAATATATTTTTAAAATACTTAAAACTCAACAGTTAACGCCGGGCGCGGTGGCTCAAGCCTGTAATCCCAGCACTTTGGGAGGCCGAGGCGGGTGGATCACGAGGTCAAGAGATCGAGACCATCCTGGTCAACATGGTGAAACCCCGTCTCT